CCCCAAAACCCCAAAACCCCAAAACCCCAAAACCCCAAAACCCCTTTTTCCAGAGATTTAGTTGAGTCCGGAGAATAGGAGCAAAATTAATAATAAATTATTTAGGCCATTCGATCACAATAATATGCTGCGTTCATGCATTTTAGATAAAAGGAGGCCCAGAGTCATACTCGGAGGCCTCAAGAACCTCCGGATGTTTTCGACCAAGCAGACAGCGAGCAGAGCCATCCCAATCGCTGAGGCTGCGACTCGTTCGAACAATCTTCCATACAGAACTTCAATTTTCAATAATTACTATTGGGTGAGGCAGCAGGTGAGGACGAGCTGATTAGCAATGAAGCAGTATCTTCCTGGAGAACTCCCGTACATCTTCCACAAGCGAGCGCCCAAAGGTAATAATAGCGTTTATCCCTAGGATTCGAAAAGTTCCTCAGAGATAAGAAAGAGCAGAAGAAAAAGGATGAGACTCAGAAAGACAAAGACGATAAAGAATCTCAAAAAGACAAAGAAAGTGAGTCTGAAGAAGAACACCACGACACTAAGTCAAGCAAGACCTCTGACGACAGGCCTGCGTACATGCAGTTCCTGTTCAATCCTAATAACAATCCGAAGTGGGAAAATTGGGGAATACTGGCGCTGGCACTCTTCGGAGGAATTTACGCATACACATTCTCGAGTCCTGCCAAAGAGCTGGTGTACATGGAGTTTGTGAATGACTACCTGACGAAGAACAGAGTGAAGAACATCACAATCATCAAGGACAAAAGGTCTGACGTATTCAACTACAGAGCAGATATTGAGACAATGGAAGGGGACAAATTCTACATTACTCTTGGATCAGTCGATAATTTCTTAGCTAAAATTGATTTGATTCAGAGAGAAATGGGCAAGACTCCACAAGAGTTTGTTCCACTCAAATATTCTAATGAGAGCGAACAATCCAGCTCTAATCTCTTCTTGAATATCACAATTGCAGGGTTATTCGGGCTCTTCATGTACCAAATTTGGAAGGGCCGAACTCCCAAGAAAGGTACTGGTAGAAAGGGATCTTCCAATAATTCAAAATCAGGAGGATTCATGGGCGGAGGCGGCCTTGGAAGCATGATGAATGTCGGTAAATCTAATGTGCAAATCTACGGAATTGACAAGAAGATCAAGACTAAATTTAAGCATGTAGCTGGACTTGAAAATGCTAAAATGGAGATTATGGAGTTTGTGGACTTTTTGAAAAATCCAAAGAAATATCAAAAGCTTGGTGCTAAAATTCCGAGAGGAGCACTTCTCATAGGTCCTCCAGGAACTGGTAAAACAATGCTCGCCAAAGCAACAGCTGGTGAAGCAGGAATCCCATTTATGACTATTTCAGGATCAGACTTCGTTGAAATGTTTGTGGGAGTCGGAGCCTCAAGAGTAAGGGACCTCTTCAAGAAGGCTAGAGAAAACTCTCCATCAATCATCTTCATTGATGAAATCGATGCTGTTGGTAAAAAGAGACATGGAAAATTCACAGGAGGAAATGATGAAAGAGACAACACTTTAAATCAGCTTCTTGTAGAGATGGATGGTTTCGGAACTGACTCTGCTGTGGTAGTCTTTGCAGCAACAAACAGAAAAGACATCCTTGATTCAGCCTTGCTTAGGCCAGGAAGATTTGATAGAACTATTGAAATCAATCTTCCAAATATAGAAGAAAGAGCTGAAATTTTCAAAGTTCATCTCAAAAAGGTCAAATTGAATGAAAAATACGATATTAGCGAATACGCCAAAAAGTTAGCAGCATTAACTCCTGGAATGAGCGGAGCAGATATTTACAATGTCGCCAATGAAGGAGCCATCCTTGCCGCTAGAGCAAATCTTGGAGCAATCACTCTCCTTCAGTTCGAGCAAGCAACAGAAAGAGTAATTGGAGGTCTTGAGAAAAAGACAGTGATGAGCGAAACAGAGAGAAGAACTGTAGCTTATCACGAATCTGGCCATGCAGTTGCTGGATGGTTCTTAGAAAATTCTAATCCTCTTTTGAAGATCACAATTATCCCAAGAACTAAAGGATCTCTTGGATTTGCTCAATATCTACCAGAAGAGCTTTCTTTATACACCAAAGAGCAACTTTATGACATGATCAAAGTTGCTTTGGGTGGAAGAATTGCTGAAGAAATCTTCTTTGGAAGGATCACAACTGGAGCATCAGATGATCTCAAGAAAGTAACTCAAATTGCCACAGGAATCGTAACCACATACGGAATGAGTGACATGGGATTAGTGAGCTATCACCAAGAGGAAGGATACCAAAAACCATACTCTGAAAATACTGGCTCAAAGATTGATGTTGAAGTTAAAAATATAATTGATGAATGCTACAAAAATACTAAAGTACTTCTTGAGAGTAAGAGAGAACTCATTGAGAAACTCGCAGAAAGGCTCCTTGACAAAGAAGTAGTTTCACTTCCAGACATCATCGAATGTCTTGGAGAGAGACCATTCCCCATGAAAGAAAACCTTAAAGAATATCTTGCAGAAATTAAAGAGAGACAGAAAGAGGAGAAAGAAGAAGCTGCCAAGAAGGAGGAAGAAGGTAAAGAAAGCGAAGAAGGTGAAAAAAGCGAAGAATCTGAAGAGGAAAGTACTGAGAATGAGGACTTAAAAGAAGAGAAATCAAAATAACTGTAACGTAATCAAAACTATTCAATCATAATATTGTCACAAGGGGTTTTGGGGTTTTGGGGTTTTGGGGTTTTGGGGTTTTGGGG